TTATTATCATTGCGAAAAATAACTGACCAAGAGTTGCAAAAAGTAGAATCCTATTACCAAAAGGCAAAGACTAGTGGTCAAGAGGAGAAACAACAATATCAGGAATTATATGTAAACACTGCAAGAGAGTTATTTGAATATACAGCTACTGAAATGAAAAAGTTTTTGGCTAAGTTATATAGTGATTGTGAAAAAGAAATGCCTACAGCACCACCATGTACATATGCATTAATAGGACTTGGTTCAATGGCGCTGCAGCAAATGACACCATATTCAGACTTAGAGTTTAGCATTCTTACTGAGAATGAAGATTATAAACACAGTTCAGATCCAAAGATAAGGCAGTATTTTAAGAACCTAAGTCACTTGGTAAATTTTAAGGTGATCAATCTAGGGGAAAGCATTATTCCTACCAGTAAATATGGTTTAGATATGAGCCATCTAGTACACGTAGGCGTTAACCTTGATCTAGGAGGTAAAACGCCGCTTGGAAGAATAGGCGGTGATAAAAAATACGACTTAATACAGGCAATAGATGGGATGTTAAGTTATGTGATTAATACAGATAGTTGGGCAAGTCATATAGATAAAAACTTACCTAATATTCTAGAAAATGTATGCTACGTGTATGGAAATAAAGACCTTGTAGAAACTTATAAAAGTAAAGTTAAAGAGTTTTTAAATAAAAAAGATCCTAACAACAGATCAAATTGCGAGATGCGAGCCCTTAAACTACTTGAAGAAGGTGCAGTGGAAATTAACTACTTTCAGCAAACTCTAAGTCTTAAGACAGAGGAAATTCTGTTTAAAGGTGATTTAGACAAACTAAAACCTAATTTATTTGATGATGAAGGCAGATTATTTGATGTAAAGCAGGAGATTTACAGGTTACCTGATCGTCTAGTATACAATCTTGGTCTATACTATGCTATTAAAGGAAAAAGTAGCTGGTATATAGCCGATAAATTAGCGAGTAAAACAATTATCTCTCCAGAAGCATCACTTAATCTCAAAAATGCTATAACTTTTGCCACTACCCTCAGATTAAAGACTTATGCTCACTATAAAGCTCAAAAAGAGTATATGTCGATATTTATAAAATCAATTAAAACCGAATCTGAGGTTAAAATACAAGCTCAACAAATATTCCATTTATCAGAAGAAGACTTAGGAGAAAAAAGCGGCTTGTTCCAATATTTTTATACTGCCCTGCCATTGCATAAAAGGTTAAAAGACTTCTGTATGCAATATCAAACATTGAGTAATGAATGCAAAAAAACTTTTTTTCAAAATAGCAACTTTTATGAGGATAATATAGCTAATAAAGGTTTCATCTATTATAGATTAGCACAACATAAAGAAGCTCAGAGATGCTTAGAGTTAGCGTTGTTAGATCAATTAAATGTAGATAATTTTCAAATAAATTTATGTTTGGGCAAGTTATATACCAGTTTTGGCAACAACGACCAGGCTATAACGCAATATCAGAATTGTTTGAATAATTTTAAACTCATCTGTAATAACCAACCACACCCAAATATTGCTGTTTTTTTAAATAACCTAGCAGCAGCTTACAGAAATAAAGGACAATATGATGAGGCAATTAAGATGTTTGAGGAAAGTCTGGAGATGAAGAAACTCATCTTTAATAATAAAGCCCATTCAACTCTGTCGGCTACTTTAAATAACTTAGGAATTACTTATTACGATAAAGGAAAATATGATCAGGCGATTGAGAAATTTGAGGAGAGTCTAAAAATGAAGAAACTTATCTATCATGATGCACCCCATCCAGATATTGCAGGTACCTTAAATAACCTCGGAGAGGCTTATAAAAATAAAGGGCGATATGATCAGGCCATTAAGATGATTCATAAAAGTTTAGAAATGAAAAAAATCATATACAAAGAGGAACCCTACCCAGATATTGCTGCTTCTTTGAATAACCTAGGGACTGCATACAATTTAAAAGGCCAATATGATCAGGCGATTAAAAAGTATAAAGAAAGTCTAGAAATGAGAAAACTTATCTTTAAAGATGAACCGCACCCAGATATTGTAGGTTTATTAATCAACCTCGCGGAGGCTTACTTAAATAAAGGACAAATTGATCAGGCGTATGAGAAAATTCAGGACAGTCAAGATATGATAAAACTCATCTACAAAGATAAACACCACCCAGTTATTGCAGGTTCTTTAAATGTCCTCGGGTTGGTATATGAACGTAGAGGGCAATATGATCAGGCGATTGAAAAGTATCAGGAAAGTCTAGAAATAAGAAAACTCATTTTTAAAAATAAACCTCACCCAGATATCGTCGCTTCTTTAAATAATCTCGGGGAAGCTTATAGAGAAAAAGGGCAATATGATCAGGCGATGGAGAAGTATCAGGATAGTCTTCAAATGCTGAACTTGATCTATAAAGATGAACCCCATCCAGATATTGCAAAATCTTTAAATAACCTTGGAGAAGCTTGTAGAAACAAAGGACAATATGATGAAGCAATTAAGATGTATCAAGATGCTATAAAAATGATGAAACTCTTCTATAACGATGAACCCCACCCAGCTATTGCCCTTTGTTTGAATAACCTTGGAGTTGCTTATAGCTCTAAGGGGCAATATGATCAGGCTATGGAAAAGTATCAGGAAAGTCTAGAAATAAGAAAACTAATGTATAAAGGTGAACCCCACCAAGATACTGCAGACACTTTAAATAACCTAGGATGTGCTTATGCAGCTAAGGGACAATATGATGAGGCGAATAAGAAGTTTCATGAAAGTCTAGAAATAATGAAACACATCTATAAAGATAAACCACATCCAGCTATTGCGTCTTCTCTAAATAACCTAATATATGTATATACGGTTAAAGGGCAATATGATCAAGCAATTGAAAAATGTGAGGAAATTTATCAAATGAGGATAGCTATCTATAAAAATGAACCCCATCCAGATATTGCAGCTTCGTTAAGTAACCTAGGATGTGTTTATGCATATAAAAGACAATATGATAAGGCGATTGAATTGTATAAGCAAAGTCTACAAATGAGGAAATTTATAAATGAAAATAAACCGCACCCAGATGTTGCATCATCTTTAAATAAGCTCGGATGTGCTTATGCGGGTAAGGGGCTATATAATCAGGCCATTAAGAAGTTTCAGAAAAGTCTGCAAATGAGAAAACTCATTTTTAATAATAAGCCCCATCCAGATATTGCTTCTTCCTTAGATAAGCTAGGAAGTGCTTATACGGATAAAGGGCAATATGATTTAGCAATTAAATATCGTCAAGATAATTTAGAGATGCTAAAAATTCTTTACAAAAACACTCATCACAGAGATGTTATTATTGCTTTTGAAAAACTATCGTTAGTAGCCACGAAATTTGTAGAAAATTATCATTTAGATTTAAAGGTTATTGAGATGATTTATTCTTTTACTCAACAAAAATTAGATTTTGCAGATTATCAATTACACTATGCTTTTGCTTTATCACAAGATAATAATGACACAAACCTACAAAGTATAGCAGAAATAGTAGAAGAATATAAACTAGCATTGATCTTTTTTCCTAAAGAACATTCAGAAGAACAACTACAAATTCAACAAACAATATTTGATAGATTAGCGAAGCTAACTAAAGAAAGTCAGAAAAATATTGATTTATGGTTAGCAATAACAGAAAACAATATAACTAAAGTACAAATATTAGCGGATAATGGAGTTGATCTTAATTATGCATCATTCTTAAATACTACCCCATTAATTCAAGCAGTAAAAATTGGAAACGTTGATATAGTATCTGCTTTACTTTCAGGAAACATTGATATAAATAAACCTAATAATGATCAAGCTAGTCCGTTATGTTGCTCTTTAGGATATTTTGGTCAAGCAATTAATATGCAAATAGTTGAATTGTTACTTAAAAAAGGAGTTGATTCCAACAAGCCAATGGTTGACGGGGATACTCCGATGCATATGGCCCATTATATGGGTCACAAAGAAGCTATAGGGTTATTACTACTGTATGGAGCTAATATTAACTCTCAAAATGCTATAGGCAAGACACCATTACATTGTTTATTAGAAAAGGAGGAGGTAAGTTCATCAACTAAGCTAGATATAATACAAGCATATTGCCACCTATACGATATGACGGTTAGGGAACAAGACGGTAAGACAGTAACAGATTGTGTTAAAGAACATTGCGCTCAGGCATTATCATTAATTGCTAATTATGTTAAGGTACTCGATTCTACTAATTTTTGAGTTCGATTCTACTGATTTTTAAGTTGATTTTGAAGATTCTACTGATTTTTAAGTTAAGTTAGCCCTATCGCTCTTTCGCATGATAGTGCAAGTCAATAGTTAATTCGTCATAATTTTCGTCCTAGCAAGATGTATCTAATTATAGCAAATGTATCTAATTATATTGATTATGGTTCTCCTTGCTTATCAGTTAGTAACAACTTAATATATAGACAATATTGAAAAAGATTAACTTGTACGAAATCAATATTCTAAAACAGAACGTGATGTTATTTCAGACTTAAAAATGATAAACCTTCCTCATTATGGTACAGGAACTAATCAATCTATCTCAGTACATTAAATAATCTAAAATAAAAAACTAACGGAAGAACATACAATGATCATTTTTGTGATCTCTTTAACCGAAAAGCGACGTTATAATCTTGAAACTGTAATAGTAGCTGCTATATAGCCGCATAAAGGTTAGATTTAGGTGACAAAAGAAAAAAAGGAATTATTCGTAATAAAAGTTTAAAAATATTAGAAATTTATAATGAAGGGCACAAGGTCACATACGTATTTATGGATGTGTTTACGGTAATCCAGTTTGTAACGAAAGTAAGTCTTGTTTTTTACATAATAACTAACATGGCAAATCTAACACATGAACAAATATACTGATTCAAATAAATCTGATAAACTAATTCGAAAATATCTGATAAAGTTGTATGTTCTGTTCTTACCTT